TCTCTCTCTCTCTTTAACCCTGTTTTTGAGTATAGGTTGCACAGAAGGGCTCTCCACCTGTCTCTCTCTAGGCAAACCTCTCTATCTCCAGTACGCTGTGCCCCATCTGTCTGAGATCTGCCTCCAGACTTTGTTCCCAAGTGGATCTCGGTCTTCCTCTCTTCCTTCTCCCTATGGGATTCCTTCTTAGTGTCTGCCCTGTCACAACGTAGGCTGGGTTCCTTACATACAGTGTGGCCAATCCACGTACGTCTTCTCTTCTTTATCTTACGGTCTATTCTATTGATTGTTATCGATTTGGTTCCTCTACATAATACAACATTTCTGATGGTGTCGGACCAGTTGATTTTCATGATCTTCCTAAGGCAATCATTGATCAGGAAATGCAGTTCTGCTGTCATCTTTTAACATGCAGTATATATAGTTTTTAATAGTTTACAGGAAAGCCAAAAAACGGAATGCTGTTACCAAGAAAACAACCTTTTCTTTCAAGATAATAAGATAGTTATTATCAAAAGTGTATTCTTCAAAATATTGAGATTGTATGTTAGCAATGAGTTTGTTTTCGTTGTCACAATATTCAGTTGGGGTAGGGGGTTGGCAGAAGGGGCGGGGGGTGTTTTGTTTTGGGGTTGTTGTTTTTTGGGGGGTGGCGTTTGTGTTGTTCTTTTGTTGTTTTGTTGTTTTTTGTTTGTTTGGGTAGAGGGGGGATTTGTCTCTCCTTCAAAATAGCAAAAACTGCAAAGTATACTGTACAATTTTAAAATGACGGTAGTTTGTTTATTATCTGCTTTGTTAGTGTATATTTTGTTTCCAAACCATATAAACAACAGACGTTTTACTTTGGTATTAAAAACCCTGATCGTTCACGCTTCTCTCTCACGTAGGAATTCTTAATCAAGACCATCATTTGAAGACAAGTTTAGCGATAATGGTAAGGAGACTTTTTGCTTGTTTAGTTGGGGATTGTTGGTTTGTTTGTTGTCGGTTGTTGTTTTTTTGTTTGTTTTTTGTTGGGTTTCTTTTGGGTGGAGGGGGGGGGGTGAAGGGTAAAACAGTCGTATTCTGTCTGAGAGCACGTTTAGCGACAGAGCTGTAAGCTATGTGTGTTGTTGCTTGCGTATTGGAGGGGGGGGGGGTGAAGGGGGATCGATTCCAGTAGGTGATACAGGAATTATAGGCTTTATTCCAAATCAAGCTCATAGTTTTTGGTTGCTTAAGGTAAATGGGAAAAATACTAAACAGCAACGCAACAAAATAATAACCTTTGACCCAGGATGCACCCACCCATCACTGACTCACCCGTCGCTTGACCTCCGTGACCTCTAGAATGTTTCTGGGCGTGTGTTCTGCTGTTCTGCTGTATTCTGTCGGCTGTTCCAGCCACCGGACTCCTCCCTCCGGTCCTGTCGGTCGCCCGACTTCCGCTGTCCCACCATTGTTGCTTGCTGGAGGGCGGGTTCCACGTACGACGCCTGTCAGTGTCTGTGTGGTCAATCGCATACCTAGCCTGGAGAAAACAATTTTGTTCATTATAAAGACTTTTTGCTGTTGTTGTTGTTGTTGTTGTTGTTATTGTTGTTGTTGTTGTTGTTGTTGTTGTTGTTGTTGTTGTTGTTGTTGTTGTTGTTGTTGTTGTCATTTTACGGGG